ATAGTTCCTTCGACAAACTTATGAGGCTCTACGATAAGGAGACAATCAAGTATGTAATACATAAGACGACCAATAACAATGCATGAATAGGATGCGATAAAGAGAGACAGGAGGTGCATAACCACGAATTGTGTGTAATTACAGATGAAGAAGTAGACATGGAAATGTCCATACCACTCTTCATGATGCTTCTGGAGGGATACGAAGAGCAATAGGATTCACAAGACGTGAAGTTGTACATAAGGGGCCACATAAGAAATCTTTTGGACGATGACAGTATGGAGACGTCCCCAAACATAGCAAATACACACAGAATCTTTTTGCGGATGTCAAGGAAGAAAAAGACGCTGAGTATAAAACACAAAGATTTACAGGCCTCATATAGGAGGAAATAAACAAACAATAACACAAGAGCTCACACCAACCTGATAATAACGTACCGGGAGCAGAACAGCTTCAGAGGCGAAATATAACACGCATACTTACATGTTAGATTGGAATGGTGTTCATACGGATGCCCTAAAGTGAGATGATCTAGGAGAACTTTGATAAATACAAAGGACAGAAACAGGCGAGGGACTCCTACCCGGAAAAGGAAAGGAACACATACTTCCAGACAGACGGACAACAAGTAAGTGAAATAGTTAACAAATTAGGAAGATAATTAACCCTACTGCTGGTCACAATTGGAATGCGAAACATATGTCAAAGAGAGCTCAAGAATTGCGACTCATCATGGGGGAAACCTATCTGAAGGCCGCGAAATATTTCATCTACCATTATATGCCCCATTCATCTTGAATGTGGGGGTAGACAAATTTTCCGTAACATATAACGTAGAGGAAATGCCCAAATGGAGAATGTTGAATTTGCTATATGTAATAATCCTGCCAGAAGGCTCCTGAGAATAGTTCATTGCTTTGTCCTCTTAAATACTCGTTATACATAACAGCCTAGACACATACGGAAGAAGTGGAAAAACATTATTCTTCATCTGTTTCATTTAATGATAAACATGGCATATTGGATTCTGTATTCCCCTGCACTTATTAAATTAGGGCAGGCTGTGCTATGAGACACGTAGAAACATGGAATTTATACGAAATGCTCACTCTCATCCGGACGGTTCTGTACGAAACAGGGCACAACCCACTCAAGCCACTGCAGTACAAATCACACATTGATAAAATATCGTTAGAGAGAAAATCATAAGTTAACAGTAGAAAAAGAAGAAGAACAAGCAGATATAAGTACCACAGCATTCTCGAAGACCAGGATGTGCACTCCTTACATATCAGATCAGTCTGCCGTAAAGTTTTAAATACAGGACCGCCCATCATACATTTACCAAGGTAAATAGAAGTTATGCCATTTTTTTGCCATATTTATTGCTCCAATGAGAGAATAGTTAATGTATGTTTTACTGAAAGAATTGAGGGCATTCTTAGTAGGATGGAAAGAGAAGGAACTTTTTGGTGATTTCTCTGCCAAATGGAATTCATCAAATCTGACACGGAAGAGGAACATTTAGAAATATGGTATCGCGGGAACAGGCATGTCTTTTCCTAAATTGTGATCATAATATAACGCATCAGGGAAAATACCAC